CTTTTTACACAGGGTAGACTTTTAGCTGGGGAAGGACGGAGGAAGAGATGAGGAAGGAGAACAGTCCAGGCAGCGGGGCCAGCCAGAGCAAATGCCTGGGGTCAGGTGATGAAGGATCTTGTGTGAGGAACAGCCAGGAGGTCAGCTTCACTGGATCAAAGAGGAAGTGGGGACTGGGAGTGCACTGGGAGACAGGGAAAGTGTCAGAAAACTGGAAAGGTAAGAAGAGGCTCAAAGCCAAGGCATTCATTAAGAGTGTGTACTCCAAGGAGTAAATAAAAGACACAGACCCAGAGTGCATTCTTGCACAAATACACACAGCATCCTTAGGAAGAGCAGATGCAAACTTGGAATATACTGGTAGCGAATCACACATGACTGGAGCACATGTGGCCCGAGGGAGCTTATCCCCCGATACCACAGGGCCTCAGTATACTTTCTCTTCTTGTAATGGCCTCTTGCTTCTCCCCTCTGGGTCTTGTCTGTGTGCACGGTTTGTTCAGCCCACCTCTGTTGGTCCCCTTCTCTCTCCAGCTCTATTCTCAACAGCCGAGGCTTCTTTCATTGTGAATCTGGAGCTGCCTCTCTTTTCTGCTGCCAGGGGTCACCTGCCTAGAGGTGCCTCTACTGACTTACTCTCTTTCTGTGCTCCCGTATGGATACAACGTATATGGATACAATGTCTCCTATCGGGCCAGCGACTCAGTTTCAAGATTGCACGGCACTGGTGGAGAAGGTGAGGAGTTCTCTTCTCCCTCCTGCCCTCCAGTAGGATAGAGGGATCCCGCTGCCTGACATTAGCCCCTGATCTGAAGAACACTTGTCATGGGCCACCAGAAATACGGCCATTCGGCCAATGACAAGCTACCTGCCTGATTCCATCAGGAAGGACTGATTCACACTTGGTAAAGCGATAATGGGATGTGGACACATCTGTGGACTTTGTTTAGCACCTTTGTTAATGCTTTATCTCCTGTGATTGCATCAGTTGGAGGGGGTGGGGGGCTAGAATTGGCTGATCATAGACCAAGTTCCCCTATACCCCAGCACTGTATGTAAAGTGCTTTGAAAAACTCAAAGAACTCTATGTATATGAGTCATTATTTTTATTAGAATCCTCCAAACTTCTGCTCAGCGGGTATGTCGTCTTGGGATGCATGAGGTTACTTCCACACCACAGTGTGGCCACATAAAAGGAATTTAGTGGAATTCACGGTGACTATTCTTGAACAGATGTGTGGAAGAAACACATGGCAATAGGGGGGAAATATTACTGGCCATAAGTCAATTGTTATCCTTGAGGAGTCATTTCAGTCATGTCTGACCCTGCGTGACCCCACTTGGAGTTTTCTTGGCAAAGATAGTGAAGCGGTTTACCGTGTCCTTCTCCAGCTCATTTAACAGATAAGGCAACTGAGGCAAACGGGGTGAAATGACTTGTCCAGGGTCACACAGCTAGCAAGCATCTGAGACCGGATTTGAACTCATGAAGATGACTCTTCCTGACTCCAGGTCCTGCACTTTATGCGCTATGGCGCCACCTAGCTTGCCCTTTCTCAAAAATGGTGACAGTGAAAAGAAATCTTATTGGAGGTTACTGGGAAAAATTTGGTTAGCCTCAATGACCTCTTCTCTATTCACTGTATAATACAGCTTGTCTCCTAGATATATATTTGAACACATATGTTTACCATATGCCATATAGCCCACTCTGGCTACAGCATCCCTTAGCACTAGGGGAAAAGTGATACGGGGTGGAATCTCCCCAGACTACTGCTCTGCCTCAGCCTCTTCCTGGGGGACCTGTCCAGTCCTCTCCTCTCTGCCTCTTTTTCCTTATCTGTAAAGGGAAGAGACTGGATGGGAGCAGAACTTCTTAACCTGGGGTTCATAGATCCATGAGGGGTCCACAGATAGATTTTAGGGGATCTGTGAACTTGAATGGGAGGAAAAAAGAATTACATGATGATGAAATTTAAAAATTTTAAACTCTTTTTCAGAGAAGTGTCCACAGGGTCTATTCATGAGACGCTAGAGGGGTCCAGGACAACCAAAGAGTTAAGAGCCCCTGGACTAGAGGAACCCTAAGGACACATTAGCTTTAAACCTTGTGATGCTGTGAGCCTCTGATCCAAGAGTGAAAGGCAAGGCAAGGCCATTCTCTATCCAACCTGGGCAGTGGAATAGGAAAATTCTGTTATTAGGGAATGAGTAAGTCACAGCATCCACCCTGGAAAGATGCATTGTCAGAGGAGGGAAAAACGAAGTCTAGTAATTTATGAAGTCCTTGCCTTGCTTTTGTTCACGGCTGTGCTCTGTCTGTTTCTGGCTCCTTCTCTTTATGTGTGTCTTTATCTCTCTGCACCTCTCTTTGTGTCTGTCTCTTTCTGTCTTTGTCTTGCTCTTTGACTCTCTCTCTCCATCTCCCTCCCTCCCTCCCTCCCCCCCTCTTTCTCTCTGTCCCTCCCTCCTTCTATTTCTGTCTGTCTCTCTCTCCTCTCTCTCTCTCTCTTTCTGTCCCTCCCTCTCTTTATATCTCTGTCTCTCACTGTGTCTCTGTCTCTTTCTGTCTGTCTCATTTGTTTATGAGCATTTTTTCCAACATTTATTTTCCACAAGATGAGCCCTGGGCTTGAGGCATTCCATGGCAGGTGTCATTTGCACATGTTGGCTGGTTTCCTTGAGTACTGTTAATAAGAGTAAAATTGAAGAAAGCATCTTGGAGGAAGTCGTGAGGTAATTAGGCTTTCCCCCCTCTCTGAATCACTCTGAGGACGTTTGGCAGACGCCATTTTACAAAGGCTCTCAGCACTGGTGGCCCATTCCCAGAATCGCTCAGAATGAGAGGTCGGTGGGCTTTGGGTCTAGACGAGGGGTTGCCCGGTCAGACTCGTTAGCCTCCTGTTGGAAGCTGAGAAAGCCACGGCAGCCTGCTGAGCAAGCGCCACATCTGGGGGCCACCTGCTCCACTCTGGGCTCCATGCAGCCACGCTCCATGGGCCAGGACAGATTGCAGAAGGTTCTGGAACTTATCCTTCCCCAGGAGGTATGTTCTGGGAATGTGGCATCTCCACGGGGCCCTCATTAGCTGCCAGAAAAGTGCAGCAGAGCTCTAATAAGCTCCAGGCCACATCGTTGTTTGTAAGGCTATGGTACCATTATTACCCAGAAGCACTCTGACAGCAAGGTGACCAGGGCCCTGCTGGACAATGAGCAGCATCTCCCATGTGGGAGTTTGACCAGCCCTGTGTGTGGCCTTGCCTGTTCCCTCTACACAGGATTTGAGGATGACCCTCAGGAGGGGTGGGCAGCAAGGGCCCTTTGGAATACATAAAGGGAGCCAACCATGAGCTTGACTAAGTCTGTCTTAGCTGGGAGGCAGGCCATTCAATTCAATTCAACAGGCATTTCTCAAGCATCTACCATGAATGAATGAATACAAATACATTTATTAAGAACTTACTACTTGCCTTTCCTGTGCCAAGCACTTAGGACACCCATAGAAAAAGCAGATGGTGGCTTTCTCAAAGAGTTCACTTTGTAACTAGGGTAAATAACAAACAAAAGAAAGTTTACTTGCAGGGCCGAGGGCAAGGTCCAGGGTCCTGAGGTTGGCGCCAAGAGGTCAGTTGACTGTGCTTGAAGATCTGGCGGGCATAGAGGCAGAGCAGATGATAAAACCTGGTGATAGCCCATCTGACCAGAAGGAGGAGAATGGCAGATTCCCATCTCTTCCAAGTGTTGTGAATGGTTAAAGCCCTGGGGAGTTGGGGTGAGGGAGGTTTGGGAGGGAGCGGTTCATAGGACCAGGGAAGAGGAGGATTATGGGGAGGAGTGTGGTAAGGGCACTAAACATTCCCAATGTCTTCAGCTGACCTTATGTGCTATGATCTAAGGCCTGTAACCATTCTTGGTTGTCCTCTTCTGGACATGCCCTAGCCTTGCCAACGTCCCTCACAAAATATGGCACCCTCAAAGGGATACCGTACAGTAGGTGTGGTCAGATCCAGACAGGGTATAGAGGGAGGCTCACCTGGGCTTTCTGCTTCTGGTAACTGCCATCTAACATCCCACTGGCGTGTGGAGCCTCCCTGGCTGAATCATTGACTCATGTCAACTGTACCATCCGCTAGGAAGAATCCTTGGCGTCTTCCGCGTGAATTGCTTTCTAGGTCAGTCTCCTGCTCTAGTTTTTGCTTTTCAGTGTCAGAACCAAAGCATGAGTTTGTCCGTGGAGCCAAAATGTGACTTGCTCTTCATTGTTCAGGTGTTTCCAACCGTCTGACTCTTCATGACCTCATTCGGGGTTTTCTTGGCAAAGATACTGGAGTGGTTTGTCATGTCTTTCTCTAGCTCATTTTACAGATGAAGAAACTGAGGCAAACAGAGTTAAGTGACTTGTCTAGGCTCACCCAGCTAGTAACTGTCTGAGACTAGATTTGCACCCAGGTCTTTGAGACACTAGGCCTGGTGCTCCATGCACTATGGTGCCCTCTAGTGTCCAACAACCTTTGATATTGATGCTTTAATATTTGCCCATTACCTCACTGCATCTTGGGAATGGTCCTGCTAGATGGGTATGACAGACTTACCTTACAGTTGAGGAAACGGAGGTCAAAGCGGGGGATTGACTTGCCCAGGACCCCACAGCTAACACATATCAGGGTGGAATCCGACCCGAGGCCTTCACACTGACTCCTGAACCTCGGGCTCTGCAGTCAGCCCCACAACCCCATCACCAGCCCCGGTCACCAAGTCTTTTGATCTGTAACCGCAGTCCCTATGAGCCCCAGGCCAGTGTCGCACACTCTGTTGGTACCTAATGCGACTCGTCCTGAATTTCTGAGGGGTCACGGGTGATTGTGGTCTTACCCTGGACGAGCGAGCAGCCCAGTTTCAAGGTGCTTTCTTTCAACAGGTAGATGCTGTTATATGTCTCTCCTGCCCACAGGGAAGGTTTTAACATTTTATTCATTTATTTCCGCATTTTTGTTTTTCAGGAGGTATCAGAAGCTCCAGAAGATCATGAAGCCCTGGTAAGAACATGCCTGCCCCTGCTATTGCAAGGTTGGCCCCCAGCTTTCCCCATCATGGCCACAGGCCCACGCTGAGCCAGCTCCCAGAGGGGCTCCTCAACTCCCACCTGGGGTCCCGCCCTGCGTCCGGCTGGTCACGCGTTGCTCCCAGAGCAGGCTTCTTCTCCCTCGCCCTTTTCCTTTGCTTGTAGCCTGGGCACCTTCTGTCTCTATCTGCCCCCGCTGGCCCCCAGGGCCTGTCCCAAAGTCCAGGCACTGCGTGGTTGGGATTACTTCCAGTGAGGCTTTCATTCTGGTTTTTCAATTACCTGTGAACAAAACTTTTTAACGTTCGTTTTTAAAATTTTCATTTCCGAATTCTCTCCCTCCCTTCCTCCCCTCCCCCTCCTTGAGAAGGCAAGTGATCTGGCATAGATCATACATGTGCAATCTGGTATAGGTCATACATGTGCAAGCTGTTATAGATCATGTGCGTGCAAATCTGGCATAGATCATATGTGTACAATTTGGCGTGCATCATACACGTACAATTTGGTGTGGGTCATATGTGTGCAATCCAACATAGAGCACACAGTGCAACCTGGTGTAGATCATACATGTGCACTCTGATGTAGATCACACATGTGCAATCTGGCATAGAACATGTATGTGCAATCTGGTGTGGGTCATACATGTGCAGAATGGCTCACTTTAGACCAAGGGCTTTGTGTGTGGCCCATGGATGTTCTGAGTCAGGGCACTCTGATCCCTGTTTGCTGGCCTCAGGAGCAAAGCTCCAACTTCTTTTAGAAGCAAGCCTGAAGTTTTGAGGGGTTCTTTATAATTGCACACAGTAAGTGCTTAATAAATGCTTGTTCCCTCCCCCCCTCTAAATTTTGAAGCCACTGGTTTTAACTCCTGGAATGTTAAGTGATCATTGTGTGTTTAGTGCTGAGAGCCCCTGACTTCACATCTGCTCTCTCAGTCCCCATTGTTTCCACCAAAGCTGACCAGGCCACCTCTGCAAGGCAGCCTGGGAAAGCCTGCAGTGTGGCCGGACCACTGGGCAGAGCCCCACAGGGGCAGGGTCACCGCTATGCCCTCCTCCCCGCTGGCCAGCCTGAAGGAGCAGCAGCTGCCTCCGGTCCCCAGGCATCCGTCGTCCTGCTTCCTTCCTGCTGAGCCAGAGCAGCCCATGTGTTAGACTGGAACTTTTTCCAACTTTTAAATTCAAAGACAGGGTTTAAGGAAGCAAAGAGAGCCTAAAGCAAACACTCCAAGCTGGTTCGGGTCCTCTGTCAAGGACAGTCCCTAACCTGTGTAGGTGTCCAGCCAATCCTGGGGCCATCGTCTGCCTTAGCACTGAAATGCTCATTTCAAAGTCCTGGTGGCTCCTCGGGTCTGCCAGGGGCATGCAATGCAGACCGCTTCCTCCGTCGGCCACAGTCAAGACAACAGCAACGGAACCGGTGCTTGGCAATGAGCCTGTGACCACATCCACTGAGGAGCACCCTCGGTAGGGACGTGACCCACCCATGCCCAGCCCTCTGGGGCCACTCTTGTCTGAGTCCTCCCCAAAGAACTGCCAACGATAATCATTATTATTATCGTCCTGAGTAATACTAAGAATAGAAGAATACTGACCACAGTGGCTGTTGTTTACACGGTGGGTGGAGGGATGCAGACAGTAACAGTTCCAGCATGTTCATGGAGCTCCATGACCACCCTGGGGGGGACGGTGCCATCGCTGGACCCTGAGGCAGGAGGTGATTGTGCAGGGTCACAGAGCCAGTCACTGTCAGAGGTGGATTCATGCATACTTGGCACACGTGTAACCGTGGGGCACAAGATGGCACAGAGCCAGACCCCCTCCAGCAATGGTGGGCTTTTAGGAGGACACGCACAGTGAGAGAAGGCAGTGAGTTTGAATCTGCCTCTGATGCTTCCTCCCTGTGTGACCACCTTGGACCTCAGTTTCCCCATCTGTTAAATGGGGACAGGTCATGACCTGCGGTCCCCTCCTGGCTCCTCTCCTCTCTGTTTCTCCAGGTCTGGGGGTCATATGACATCCAAACCAGCTTCCTTTAAAAACGCAGATAGGGAATTCAGCTTTTCCAGGCAATGCTAGCTTATGTTGGACCGAAGATAACGCCAGCTGAGTCAGGGAGGAAAAGTTATTTAAAGTATTATGAAAGACACAGTGTTTTGGCCGTGACCTTGGCCTGGCGCCAGGACTGAGAGTTTGCAGGCGGCTCATTTGTGGTCTTCCCTCCAGGACTGATTCTTGCCTGAGCTCACTTTATGTGAATGCATTTAAAGGCCCACAGCCCCTCCCCACACAGTCCTCCGCCCCATCCCCAGCACCACTCCCCCGAGCAATGCTAAATGCACTATCTGGTGGTTGGGCTCTGGCTGTGCTGGGTTTTCTCTAGGCAGCAGGGTCGACCTCAGACATATTCTCTCCTCTCCCTGGACCCCTCACTAGTCCTCAGTGCATACTTACCTAATGCTGTGACTCAGGTCACGTGGTAATGGGTAAGCTGGTTAGCCTGGAAATGCAGGAGAGCTTGACAGCTCGATCCCCTCCAGAAATGGGGATGTGGAAATGGAAGGACCCCCCCCCCCCCGCCCATGGAAGCTTGCCAGTGGGTGTGGGCGCCAAGGCCCACACAGGGGCTCTTCCCCTGCGCATCAGCCCCTCCCGCGGCCTCTGCCAGGCCTGGCCACGTGGAGCTCTTCCCTGAAGGAGTCGAGCCAGCCGGTGAACGGCTGACGTGGAGCCTTAGCTCACTCATGGCTGGGGCCCTGCCTCCACCATAGCTGGGGATGGCCGGGGAGGCTCAGGAGCTGGGCCGTGGAACTCGCCCTCCCCTTCCCAGGCCATAAGGTCGAAAGCTGGAGGGACCTCAAAGGTCAGCCTGTCTGACCCTTTCCTTTGTACAGATGGGGAAACTGAGGACCAGAGAGGTGAGGAGAGAGGAGTGGCCTGTGACTTTGTTCCAGAGAGGTGTCCCTGCTCTAGACCCACAGGGCCCTTTGTGAACACTCAGCCAGCCCAAGGCCAGTTAATTCACTGAGCTGACTCATTAAGCCTTGCCTTGCTCAAGCGGCTCCTGATCTCACACTTGCTGACGTCAGCTGACATTTTCTTACTTGGAGAGCTCTAACTCTTGGTCCTCCTCTCATCGACCTTCTTCCCTCCACTACCCCCTGTATACAGCAGGTGCTCAATGCTTGCAGGATGCCTTGAATCCTTCTCTGCTCTTTTGTTAGTGAACAGTCCATCCTTCGGAAGGGTCCTTGTGACTTCCAGTGACGGGGCGACCTGGCCCTCTGGCGACACCTAGAGGGGATCAGAGAGAAGAGCTCCCCATCGGCATCCCCTGCTTGGTCGCACCCTCATCACTCAGAGCGGGTTGGGGGCAGATCCCTCAGCCCCTCCTAGTGCCCCCCAGCCTGTGATGGCAGAGAAGGGCCACTGGCTCCCGCCTGCACTACCCCCTTGGGGGCTGTCCCCCAAAATGAGCATTTCTCCTGTCTGTCCTTCACCAGGAGGCTCCCCCAGAGGTCTGGTGTCTGAACTCAGGCCCTGGGGAGGAGGGACATGGGGAAACACATGCGGACCCTCGGCGGCCTGTGGCAGCATTCGCTTCGCAGAGCACCATGGGATGGGGGAGGCTTAAAGTGTTCCCCGGACCCTTAGCCTCAAGAAACAAACCCACCGCTCTGTCCTGATCTACCTAGCTGCTTCCTAGGCACAAGGTGAAGTGATGAGCCCAGGGTCACACAGCTAGTCAGTGTCTGAGGCTGGATTTGAACTTGGGTCTTCCTGACTCTGGGCCCAACACTCTACTGAACTACATAGTGGCCTGATTTCTTGTACAGTTTAACTTAGTGCAACCAGCCTTTTCTTTTTGTTTTTCCCCTTTAATGTCTACTCCATGCCTGGCAAATCCAGAAATGAAAGCTCCCTGCCCTGATGGAGTTTATGCAGGAGAAACACCTGATTCCCTTCAAAAATATTCTTACGAGTAAATATTCACGCTAAGTGAGTGTAACGTGGATAGATTCCTCTTCTCCTGCATCAGGGTTTTGTGTCTTGGACCCTCTTAGACAGGCAGGGACCCTTTCTCAGAATAAGGCTTTTTAAATGCATAAAATAAAACACACAAGGTTATGAAAGAAGCCGGTTACCATTGAAAGGCAGTTCTCCAAATATGAAAGAACCGACTTCAAGGACCCCTGAATTCTCCCCCAGGACCCGGGCAGCCGCCCTCTCGCCAAGCCTGACCTCGGCCACGCAGATTTCCTCTTTAGAGAGAAAGTGTAGGAGTCAAATGCTGGGGGTTCTTTTAACACGAACTAAAAAATGAATTTGGTGTTCAGACTATGTACAAGGCATGACAGTGGCACCAAGATGCTTCTTAAGAGGAAACAAGATCTATAGGCTGTATTCAACCTCAGGCCTCCCGTGTCCTTTCTGTTATGCAAATATACATTTATACATAATTAAACACAGGAGGTTTTATATATATGTGTGTGTGTGTATTCATTTAGCAAATAAATGGAAAGATGATGTGAAGTAGAAGTGTGTGTATGTATGTGAACACATAAATGTGTATGTTTTAGTGTAGCAGTGTGTGTGTCCAGGTGTGTGTGGGGCCATGCACACACACACACACACACACACACACACACACACACACATCTTGCTTTCTCTCCACGTGCTCCTGCTTGGCACTTGGCTCCTCCGTGGTCGCCCCTCATCCCACCCGCCACGCCTCCTCTTCCTGCACCCCTCGCACCCCGCTAGGATTTGGGGTCTGCATGGCTCTCTTCCCGCTTCAGGTTTCCAGCCTGAGATCTCTCCTTCCTTACGTGTTTCCTGCCCCCTTCACCATCTCCCTTCTTGGCCAAGACCATTGCGGCTCCTCCCTGTGTCTTTCAGCTTTGGAGACATGCTGTCCTTCACGCTGACTGCATTTGTGGAGCTGATGGACCATGGCATCGTGTCCTGGGATACCTTCTCCGTGGCGTTCATCAAGAAGGTGAGCCGGCCTCTCTCTTTCTCGAGGGTCTGGGCCTGGGTCTCCCTTTCCCTGGTGTCTGTACTGCCCCCGCTCTCCTTGCTGCCAGGAAGATCCGGGATGGGAGAATTTTAGCTGCTAAGTCCCTGAGGCATCCTCCAGTCCAGCCCTTTTACAGATGTGGAAACTGAGGCCCAGAGAGGGGGACTGTTTTGTGCAGTGTCACATAGGCAGTTAGAACCAGGGTCAAGATTTCAACCCAGATCTTCAGCCCTCTTTCCTCTGTGCCAGTCAAATAAAGGTTGACTTCTCTGGATAGAACTGGGATGATGAGGGCCTTCGGGCAGGAGACCTTGCCTCCAAGGGGAGGACTCCCTCATCGTAGGGTGGGCACCCCTTCAGGAGGTAGGGAGGTTCCCTGGCCTGCCTACCAATGGAGGACTGACTCTGTTTGCCAAGAGGTTTCAATGTGTGGGCTTCTCACTTGCCTAGGGAGAGTAGCCACTGCCGGGACTGTCTGCATCATGGTCCCCTGCTGCTGTGGGCGCATTCACCATCAGCCAGTTATCCTGTGCTCTGGGGGCTTGACCTCTGCCCCTGGTTCTCCTCCCTTCTTGCCCCTTCTCCCGGGCACAATGCTAGGCACAGTGCTGAGGCCCTCGGCGAGTTCCTTCTGATTTTCAGGGGTTTTAGGGAAAGCTCTGAGTCGCTCTCAGCCCAATCTCCTGATGCACAGCACAGTTTCTTTGGGATGTTGATGTGGGCTTCTCCGTCCTTTCCTCCAGTCACTGGGACAAATGAGAAGGAGGCTTCTTTCTGAAGCTCCACTTGGTTTAACATTTGGGGGCAGATTCTAACAACTCGGAGCTTAATAAAGCACGTTGGTAAGGACTTAATTCTTTTAGACGGGTACATGACTGGTTCCTGGGCAGAATTTGGTCTTTGAAGTCTATTTTATAAATTCCATGGAAATTAAGGAAGATCAATGATATGCTGGGCACTAGGGGGCACCATGGTGCACAGAGCTCCGGGCCTGGAATTGGGAAGACTCATCTTCCTGAGTTCAAATCCAGCCTCAGACACATAGTAGCTGTGTGACCCTGGACAAGTCACTTCACCCTGTTTGCCTCAGTTTCCTCATCTGCAAAATGAACCGCAGAAAGAAAGAGCAAACCACTCCAGTATCCTGGCCAAGAAGAGTGGGACTGAACAAGAGCAGGCCTGTCCAGGAGGAGATGGGATTAGTACTCACCTCAGCTCCTCCCCATGACAGCATCCCTGGGGGATGGGAGGAGCTGCCCTTTCTTCACTGACCATGAGCCAGAGATCCTGTTTCAGCTGGGAAAGAAGAGCATGGATTTGGCCATGCTGTCATTCAGCTGCCCCTGGTCCAAGGATGCTCGAGGCCCCATTCCCTCGAGCCCCATTGCCCTGTAGGGACTGGAGGTGGTATCTGCAGACTGGGCTCTGGGTCAGGGGTCTCCTCCCATTCCCCTTCATCAGCTAGAGCATCCCTGCTCTCACTCTGTGTGCCAGGGACTGTGCAGCGGCTGCTGAGGCTGAGCGGGATGTGTGCCCACAAAGGGGGCTGTTCTCCTTCAGGACAGACTCGGCTTCTTGCTGCAGAGGACAAGCTGTCCCAGTGCTGGAGCGGCCTCATCCCTGCCAGGCATGGGGAGAGGGGACCGTCCAGGCACCAGCTCCCGGACCATCTGCAGAGCAATGCACACATGTAGTCGTGTGTGTAAACATGTGCATGGAAATACGAATCTACGTGTTTGAATAAACACGGCCCCAGGAGGAGACGTGGGGAAGACACAGATGGGAAAGAGACTGTTTGGGGCTCAGGAAGCACTTTGTTTTTCCCGGCGGTGTTGCACAGTGCTACCTTCTGTCAGGAGGAGGCACGTGGGGGCTCTGATGCAGGGTATGAGCAGGCTCTGGGGCTCTCGGCCCCATCAGCCCCACCCAGAGTGACATGGGGCCACTCTGGACTACACGGGGCTGAGAAGACTGGGTGTCTGAGGGTTTGCAGAGGCAATGGAGACTTGGATAGCTACTTTAGAGTTCCTTAAAGTGTATTGTGCTAGTGTAGACAGCCTGATGCCTTGGGGGCTTCTTCATCTCCATCCTTGCCCAGCCTCTCCTTGGATTCCTTTGCCAGATGAGGTCTTGGCTTTGTAAATGAAGGATGGGGAAATGTGCGTCCTTTCAACGCCACTACCAAGGGTAAATTTTGGAGTCTAAACCGTGTTGGGTGATCGTTCGGTCCCCAAAGGAAGACGGGTGCCTCTCTTGCCATTTGGTCCAGGGAGAGCATCGGACAAAACCATGAGAGGTTGGCTTGGACAAGTCTCTGCCTCTCTCAGCTCAGTTTCTCACAGCCGACATAGGTCTAAATCACAGATAAAATTGTTGAACACAAAAGGGCTGAGGATGAAGCCCTGAGGCACACCATTAGAGACCGCTCTCCAGGTTGAGAATATCCATGTAACTAAACTAGGGTGTCTGGGAGCCCTCTGAGCATTTGTAAGGATGGGGATACACCTTCCCTCCTCCTGCTGCCCCCTGGCCTCAAGCCTGTCCATCCTCATTACTCAGAGATGTCTCCCCCATCCATCCAATAGCATTTGATGCAGAAACTTCTCAATCCTTTGAGACTTACATGTGCTTCAAAAAATAGGATTGTAGGAGCATAGTTTTAAAGCTGGAAGGGACTTTAGAGGCCACTGAGTTCAACCCCCTCATTATACAGATGAGGAAACTGAGGTAGCCCAGAGAGGGGAAGCAACTTGTCCGGGCTCACACAGCCAGAATGTGTCTGAGGTGGATTTTGAACCCAGATCTTTCTGGCTCCAAGTCTGATGCCCTCTCCACTACCTCTCTTACCGTCTTCAGGACTTTCAGTCTTTCCTTTATCATGTGGGCTCTGCTCTTTCAAATCTGAAGATCTGCTAAGACGCTCACAAACTAGCCTCCTGATCATCTTTTGTTAAGGGCAATAGTTTGTCGGGAGTCTAGGTTCATGCTTCTGGGGCAGGGAGGGACTTCAGCACAGTCTAGTTTCTTGATTTTACAGATGAAGAAACTGAGGCTCAGAGAGGGGAATGATTTGCCCAAGGTCACACCAGAGGTGAGCATCAGAAGCAGAAGGTGACTGTTAAGAGGGTCCTGATGCCTGGATTCCAAGTATTAACATGGAAACATTGAGGGAGGCTGTTGTCCTGCTCTGGGGAGCAAGCCTGAAATTCAGACAACCTTGTGAGAAAATCAAATAAATAATAAATCAAATAAACAAGCTTTAGAGAAAGTGCCGGGTCAGCACCATGATATCAATGGGCAGTGTAAGCTCTAGTGACACCAAGGGTTCAAGCACAGAAGTGCGATACTATACTTGGCCAAAGAAGTATTCATAGGCCCCTAATTAACAAGTAATTACTAATTATTCTCTAATTCTGGTATTGATAATTGCTGAGTGGCACCATGAATAGCTATCTGATCCTATGTTTAGAGCATTTTCTGGCTTATAAAGGATTTTTCACAAACAGCCTTGTGAGGGAGAGAGTGAGGGAATGATTATGCCCATTTTACAAATGAGGGAACTGATACTCAGAGAGGGAAGTGACCAAGTGATGCAGCTGCACCCCACTCTCTATGCCCTGGGACGGGACACCAGGGATCCTGATGGCTTCAGCCCAGCGCTCTTTCCCTCAGGCTGTAGGATTGCCAAGGCTTATGTTTCTTGCTGGAATGACAGATGTGGAATTGATTAGGGGAGCCTCCAAGAAGCAAAACTGAAACCAGGTTTTGAGGAAAGGGGCAACTGGTAGAGACGAGGAAGGGGCATGTTTGGTGGGAGAGACAGAGTATGTGAAGGCTAAGAGAAGAGAAGCCGCTTGTTAGAGAGGGCTTTGAGATCACAAGTTGTAGTGTGGCTGCTGAGGAAGTATGTGATGTGTGTGTGTGTGTG